CTTCTTTCCTGTTGAAAGGAGTATTGCATAGACAAATGAAAAGGGATTTTTATGAAAGTCCCAAAACGTGCGTGCATGCTTTGCAGCCAGGGAGCAAAGTCTACTTTTTCATTTTTTTTGTTTGCGATGTTTGTCTCATTATGTTGGCACATCGCCCAGTACAAACATTAATTGCACATCGGCCAGGCATATCACGCGATATGATTATATCCGCAACATTAAAATCATATGGCAGTTTACATAACATGCAAAATGTGTTCATGAAACTAACATAGTCTTCCTTGCGCTCACTCATCATATGCACACTGAAAGTGCAAACAAGGGTATACACAATAAAACTGATTAAATATAGAATTTAAGGTGGGAACTTACAGGAAATATGATTAATTATAGTACATGACAGATTCTAATTTTAATACATACGTAGGCGCGCGGGACTAAACAAACATAAAACAGTGTATATGTGTGAATTGTTCCTCTAGGCATGTTTGAAATATGAGACTATTTGGAGATCAATCTTTTTCATGCGAATGAAAAAAATAAAAGGAAAAGAGGGAGAGATTGAGAGAGAGAGAGAGAGAGAGAGAGAGATCTCACAAAACATCAAACCTTTAACACTTTTCACCGAATTTATTAACATAATATGTTTGTATAAAAATAAAATTTGAGCGTAACTCCTTTTAACCGTTAATGAAAATGTTAGCGTATATTTTAAATATGGCAATATTTTAATTTTTGCCAAAACTATGATATATGCAGTGCTCAAATTACAAGCTAGTTACCCATTCACCCTGTACCATGAAATAGGTATGTCTTCTGTCACTTACACATAATCCATTTACCATTTAGCAATAACCTCACTTTGTTATGGCGTTAAAAACATATACCCCAGTCCATACAATAAGAAAAGACAGTACGTCTTGATATTTCAACAATGAAATATAAACAAGGCCCAACAAAATAATAACCAAAAGTCAACCTATAGGGTTATACTTCACATAACATCGAAATAAGATTATCAACTCAAGACTTGCAAGTCTTGTTAAAAACACCTACTCCTCCTCTATTCATTCGACTCTCTGCAACTTGGTCCTGTAATTGACCTATATTCCCCCACACTTCTCTAGTATCCCTTTTTATGTCTCACATATAATTCAATTCTTTAAGATTAGGCAGGCCCTGAACTAACCTATCTATATCCCCTATCAAAACGTCGCATCCTATGCTCTTTAAACATGTACACACCTGATGAAAAACACATCTCAATACTAAAAATTGTTTAACTTCTTTAATAATACTTTAACTTGAAAATTCTGTTGTTTTTACAAAAGAAAGAAGAACCAAAGATATGACCAACATCACTTTTAAAATATGATTCAAGTCTACTCTGCTCCAGATTGTATCTAAGAAATATTTCACATAAAACTCTGTAAATTAGGTTCAACATTGGCAATCAAATACTCTTCGGATATGATCCGAAATAACCGTACGACATTTTAACAACATCCAAAATAAATACTTTTTTTGTGTGCATTTTCAAAGTGACATTTTCTATTACATATCTCCATTGACCATGTCCTCTTTCTTCTTATATCGTTATCTAAATGCGAATATATCTAGAGTATATCTCGAGAAGAAATATGAGAGTAAATGGTCCCTTTGTTATTGGCATTCGGAAAACACATATTTGATATGTAAGCTACAATAAACACCTTTACATCATCGCACACCATAGATGAACCGTCAATCCTCCAAAGCAAATAAACGAACGAATAGAAAAACTATAAACGCAAAACGCAAAATATGTAAAAGCAGGAAAGAGGAAAGACAGGCAATCCATCTGGCAATCGGCCGTATCAAGTAGTCTAAAATTATTTACTTGACGAATAGACGTAAACTGCTGGTCAGAATTGTGCATGTTTTACATACACGATCCATCCGCGTTTCGATCTATAAAGGTATGGCAACAATTACAGGTTTTATTGGTAATCGTCTCCTGACCAGAGTTTCCGATGCATCTAACGTTTTCCACAATCAGCAGTATTTTCATTTTCATTGCCTAAAATGGAAATTTTACATGTGGATGAATCCTAAACTGCTTATCAAATATATACATTTTCGGTGGGTATTGTAAAGACAAAGCTATAGGTTTCCTGTTTTTTCCGGGTTTGCTTTATGCTCTGAAGATCATGGATGAGTATTTTCATCAAAGTCAAACTCTAAAGCCAAACACTTAAAGACAACAAAATATCAATGTATTTTGAACGGATTACGCTTTTTAAAAGAATCAACACGACCTTTTCCCTATATATGCCCTTTGTCAAAATATTAGATACGAAAAGGAAAATGTATGAAACTGAGGTAATACGAAATCGTAACTATGAGTAAGAATGATTTACAAAAAGGATAAAGTACAATTTACATACTAAATGCTGTATTAGCACATGGTTATCATACTTGCTAAAAATGTACTGACATTATCATCGTCACTATACAAGTGGATGCAGCAGTGTATAATGAATGTATAGTATATACAAATGAAAAAAAGAAAGCACCTATTTCTCCTCCTTTCCTACAACACATTTATATTACACTATATATATATATATTCCACACCGTGTTGATAGATGAGAAGGATTTGTGCGATTCATCGGGAGGAGTGGCCCTTCGAAGGGCCGTTTTTAGAAAATCGTATACAGGAAATGCTGCGTTGTTGAAATTAGTTTAAAAAAATGGTTGACTACCTAATACTTATTATATACCTCATTTTAAGATTCTTTACTAATCCTGTCTTCTGATTGGTTGAAAATGCAGTCATGTTCTTAACCATGCCCGCTAATTGAAATTCATAGTCATTTTTCCCGGCTCTACCGGTTTATATCCATTTTTCATAGCACTTTTTCCATGGCTGTGAAACGTGACGTCATTTTGCTGCGATCCCCATTTTGGTTTACGTGTTACCGTATAAGTTTCTTTTGTGCGATGACCGATGCGCAATACCGTTAACGGTGTTTGAGTGCAATTCGATTTTGGTCGCTGCATTCAGGCGACGAATCTACCAATCCACGCAGCGCAGACGACCGATCGCCATTTTGTGTACTAATCTCGATCGCAAAATACTGGGGTTTTTTGTTTCCAATTTTTTGTCAATAAAGAGGCAAAATGGAGGACACAGCTATGCCAAGATTTCAACTTATGGATGACATTCAGCTGCAAGACTTAATCGCTTCTGCTGATAGCAAAAATACGAAGTATGCAGTAAAATACGGCATTAAAATATTTGAAGAGTTCTTGCGAAATGTCAACACGGACCTCGGAGATGTAAACAGACTTCCGAATGCAGACCTGGACAAGATCACAGTCTGTGTAAATATGTTGCGAATTTGTGAATTTATAAAGTTACTGTTCATGTTCTACTGTTCTACTGGAGCACAGCTTGTTGGTGAATTCATCCTCTACAAAAGTTACTGTTCGTGTAAACGTGTTTGGTATTCCCTGTTCTACTGGAGCACAGCTTGTTGGATTTCATACTGTACACAAGTTATTGTTGGTGATAATATTCATGACTTCAAAGAGATGGAAACCTAAATGGGTGAGTCAACATTTTCCTTTTTTTTCGGTATATAAAATATATATTGACTGCTTTTAATATTCGAGGCATAGTTGTTTCTATAGGGTCTCGGGAAACTCACAACCTGCTATGACCCCGCGGCGCAAGCGCCTTGGGGTCATAGCAGGTTGTGAGTTTCCCTTGACCCTATAGAAACCACTATGCCTCTCGAAGCAGTCAATATATCCTTACTATAACCATGTTGATACAGTTTTTGCCTTTGAATATCCCAACAAAATATGAAAAATAATTGATAAAACAATAACAATATAGACTAAGGAATGGAGTAGTTGATTTCAAGATAAAGTTGAGTTCTGTTCATTTGATTGCATTGTGAAAGAAACGTTGTAGAATCGATGAGAAAAAAATGATCATCTAGGATATAAGTATTAGTGTGTACTGCAAGGTTTTGGAGTCATCAACATGATAATACATTTAGCTCAGTTTTAGTACAGTTACAAGCACTGTACACAAAAAGATGTAGATGGGACTACACGAACATGTGGCATAAAATTCCGTCCCGACTTTTATGATGTTACATGCCATATTTAGAATGCATTTGAAGGGCCATGCTTTTCAGGGAACATTTGTTATCTTATGTTCTTCCACACTTGTATAATACAATGATAACGCTCACAAAGTATTTAACCTTCTCTTTAAAGTGCATGCTTAAATACCCAAGTTATTGGCCAAGTAAAGAACCAATCTTTGCAATACAACCCCAAAGAAATTTGGCGCAAGCAATGTGACAATGCACAGACTTTCTTGGGCAGACACGAGCTTAAGCATGCCACGACTGAGCAAAAACGGGCACAATACAGAAAGAATGCGGCATGCTATTGTGGTCACCATCTTCCTACTGTTATGAATTTTTTTATAATTTCCTTAATATAATGCTGATAATTGTTACAGCATTGAGCTGCAAGTGGAGTTGTTTATATATTTTATACGTAATAAAATTCAGCCTAAGGGCTGCCAATTTCAGTATTTTAATAATGTATTCAACCAACCATCAATGCGTTTTGACAAGGTTCATATGAGGCACCAAGCAACCTCATCATAAAGTGTCACGTGATAAATTAATAATAGTAGAGTCGTGTACATTATGCCACACCAGGCGCTCTGTCATTATTACAACGGCATTAGCACGGCTGGCATTACAGCGCCCGAGCAGTTTTAGATATATATTCCTGCCAGGTACCCATTTTTACTAATGGATATTTGTGTGGCGAAAGGGACTCGAATCCCGCATCTTGTGGTTCACAGCCCGGATACCTCCAAAATATGATTTGTCACTCTAGCTCCAACATTTTATACGACAGAAGAAGACAATTGAACGAAGAAGAAGAACACGAAGAAGGAGAAAAGGAAGAAGAAGAAGAAAAAGAAGAAGAAGAAGAAGAAGAAGAAGAAGAAGAAGAAGAAGAAGAAGAGAAAAGAAGAAGAATGGAAGAAGAAGAAGACAGAGCAGTAGCACAATTGTCAATTTTGCAAGTCAAGTTTTTGGAATCTTGTTTTGTTTAAGTTGTTAGAATAAGAATTGTGATTGCTTAATGTATTTTCACTCTGCTCATTTGCTACCTCGATTTCAGATTCATGCCCGTTTGATGCCTGCCTCCTTTTACTCTTTTTCGCCGACTCCGCTTATAATTCATGCTCCTAGATGCCCCTTTGCATTATTGGCCGGTTGACTTCCAATTTATGTCCATAGATGTCTCCTCTAACAGCTCATTGGTCAACGTGACTACCACTTTCATGCTTGCTTAATGCCTCCTTGCATTCCTCATTGTTAGGCTTGATTTCAGGGTCGTTGTCGCTAGCATTTTCAAACCCCCTCTCATGGACTGGCATGGTGTCAGATGCCTGTTCGACAGATACCTCCTGATACTCCTCACTGTCCGCTTCGTTGTCAGACTCATCCCCGCTTGATTTATCTTTACGCCCTTTATCGGCCGGCTTGGCAAGTAGAATTCTGGAATTATCGAGTAGCATGACTTCCTCAGCTAGTTCCACAAATCCAGCCCTGAACAGATTGTCAATCCTGTTTCCACGAGATTTTAACTTGTCCGTGATTAATTGCTTCGGTGATAATTTGTCAAACTCTTTCAACCAGTTTCTCACCCACTCCGTCACAAGTGTTGCTGTTGTAGTATTCTGATCATCCTGAGCTTTCAGTCCAAGGTGTTCACGGAGCCTTTCCAGTTCGTCACCCTCCAGACTGTTACATATGCGTTCTACAACACTGGAATCGACTTCCGTTGTGTGATGCCCACCTACTGAGGAAGGAAAATCAGAAAAATTCCAAAAGATTGGCACTTACTTTATTTGTAATAAAATAAAATGTGAACTATGACAAAGCAGAAAATTAATAACTGGTATGTGTAAAGATAACTTATGGACAATATACAATATACATCAATACCTAAGCATGTAAATAAACTTAATGCACTATTCGAATCACATGGGAAGGGGAGGGAGGATGGAAGGGGATGGAAGAGGGGGACCTCGGTATGTAGTGGTCCAGTGGTTAACAGTGATCATGGGTAAGGTTCTTGCAGTGACTTAGTTTGCTTTTGCCCTCCCAGGCAGGATCAGGTGACGCATACCTGCTAATACTTTCCAATAATTCAAAGCTAGCATATCAGTTGCAATACAAAACAAAATATTATAAAGATACAAATCTAAATAAATCAGTAGATTATAAAAGGTGCTAATTATGTCAGTCTTGTATATTGTACATTATGGGCTGATTGTTTGTAATGTTGCATACCGGCGAGGATCCTATTGGCAATGTCAGTTCTTCCAGCAGCGCGAAGACCCGAAGCTAGCTCGAATCTGAAGTGAAGTGGCTGTAGTCTAAGCTGATTTCTCCAGATCGTCATAAGTTTGACGTCGTCGTATGGGCCTGTAGTTCCTTGAAAACCTGAAAGAACATCTTTCTCCAATCCAAAATGCTTTACCAATTTTACGATTTCGTCTTCCGACAAGTCCGTTGTCAAGTTGCAAAGTTCGCTGATGCTTGCGTCATAACCTTGATGCATGGATTAGATAATTTTTTAAGGGGTTAAACAACAAATCCTAGGCTGGGGAAAGTAGTCAAGATCTTGTAAGAATGTGCACATTTCGTGAAATAGATCCAAAAGAGCTACTTTGCTTTATACAGAACGAGAGAGTGACCCTTTGTCTTAATCATTCTGAATTTATACAATAATTAATCTGCTCATGCATGAGGAAGAACATATCAAAGCGCTGCAGTCCTCATCCGAATTTCATGAAACATAAAGGCATGTAACAGCTTTGAAATAAATTAATCTTTATTAAAATGCGTTCTATTACATGAACTTATAAATACTTACATTCATATACACTGTTGGTCATTAAGGTGGAATAATTATTTTTACCCCAATTTATGAAATGATTTTGACAATGATTTATTCCCAAGAGATGTAAATAATAATACACGTTCTCAGATTTTATCGAATAATAATCTGCGAGTGTTTGTTTTGCGTGACTGCTAAATCACGTGTGTGCTACTATGCTAATCAACTAGGGGACCTACGTCCTTAAGTCATAACTGACAGTAATGAGGATTAATGCATCACAAAAGGGCACTAATATAGCTGATCGACACAGTTTTTAGTCTGGGGCCTCACAGTAACGAGGCCATTGTTTAGCCACTGATTCATGACTATACACAGCGAGGGCTAGGGTACGTCGCCGCCTACACAAATACAACAAAAACAAAGAAAATGCAATGAATTATCAATAACTAATTGCAATCCCCCCGGTCCAAAACAGGACACATTTCTCTGTAGGGCCTTGCATTCAAGGCATGCCCACATGGAATTAATTTTATGAAAGGGATCGGGGCAAAATGCAATGAATTATTGATAATTTATCGAATTTCTTTGCTTGTTGTATTTGTGGGGGCGGCGACGTACGCTAGCCCCTGTTGCGTACGGTCATGATTTAGTGACTAAGCAATGACCTCGGTACTGTGAGCCACCATGATCAAAACCGTGTCGATGTGCTATATTAGTGCCCTTTTAGGAGGCATTAATCCTCATTACTGTCAGTTATGACTTAATGACGTAGGTCCCCTAGTTGATTAACATAGTAGCATACACTTGCTTTAGTAGTCACGTAAAACAAACAATCACAGATTATTATTCAATACAATCTGAGAATGTATTCTATTATATAGATATATTAGGAATAAATCATTGTCAAAATCATTCCATAAATTGGGGTAAAAAAATAATTATTCCACCATTATGACCAACAGTGTATATGCATGGCATTCGTAATTACCATAGCTTTAAATTAGCAAGTATAGTGCCTTGAATAGATGCGTCCGAAAGGTGTAACCGTACTTGCTTTAGGCAAATTTAAGTTTAAAATTTTAGAAAACCTGAATGACGGTTTTGATGTCAGTTAGCCTAATAAATGTCACATCGTTATTTTTACCAGCTCCATCTGATAATGATCATATTTATTTGGTGTTATCTCTCCAACAGAATATTATGTTTTTCCACATGTATGCATTTTGCCTTCTGGACGATGACTTGAGTGCCACAAACGTCAAAAAACTACTTTAAATTAAGAATGTTTCGTGATATAGGTAAAATGCTCAATCGGTTAATGTTCCTTACCCAAATAGCCTGAACGAGCAACATCGAAGTATCCAAGATTTCTAATGGCAAAACAGAAATCACGGCGGCGATTCATAACAAGACCAGTCAACTCCTCCATTTGTTGTTTCAGAAGATGTATAGTTCCTTCCATGTGTGGTTCCCCAACTGTTTTTTCTTTGACCATGTCCATTTTAAGAAGCGTTGCCAATGGCCAAACATCGATATAAAACGTAGTCCATGCCAAACGTACCAGCTCAGCTTGGTAAACATGTTTTGCAGGAAGTCGGTCAACAATGCATCCTAAATGGAAAGAGACAGAGAGCAAATTTTGTACCGAAGAAGTATACAGCGTAATGATTAGCATTCTATGGGTGTTTGAACGTACTCAGGACGTTTTGAGGTCGGCATGAGAACGGTGTTTTGTTTGCATGTTATGTTGTACAGTAGATACGGTCTCCCTAGTCGACTAAAAGACAGCAAGATAGATCAGAGATAGCGACGGCCGTCTAGACCAACATCACACATAACCAACAAACAACAACATAAATCGTAAAGCAAATAAAGAAAAATAGTATCGTCCTCGTGGGCAGTTGATCTACATCAATTAGTGAACATTCAACATGTTAAAAGGCAACAAAGATTACATCAAAAAGTGTTACCATTAGATATGAAATCTCTCGACAGGCGGGTTCAAAAATTGCACATGTGTTGTTAACCGTTCATAATAATAATAATACAAATAATAATAGTGGGTTCTTCTATAGCGCTCATGTCTGTCAGACTTGACACTCCTGGCGCTCCCGACTATTACCCTGGCCTTAGCACGGCTGCCATTACGGCGTTCTATCATTTTCAGGAATAATTCCTGCCAGGTACCCATTTACATTAACTGGGTTACGTGTGGCAAATGTAGATCGATGTCTTGCCAAAGGACATTAGTCCGGTGACATATTTACTCGACCACGACACCTCTACATCAAATGAATGTTATAAATTGTGCCATCCAACGTAACCTATTCCAGTATAATCCACACATTAATTGGTGTACCGTCATTTACTTGCAATTGTAAAGGGCTTCAGAATTTGTTCCACAACGTGGTAGTAAGGGGTGGGTATAGAGTGGCGATTGAGAAATTGACACTGTCCCGTGTCTTTTACGGTCAAATGTACAATAAACAAATATTATGATTAACAATATTTGTTTTCTCTCTTTTTAATTTCTTCCTTTCCCTGTTTTGTATGGTTTAATTTGTTCAAAGACATTTTAATAGTTTGACGTGTCAGTTGGGATGTGAAAAGAACGTACCTGATAATTCCATAGAACTGAGTGCTTCTCTCAGCTTTTTACGGCGTTCGTTCATTTTACATCTATTTCTCCATTCGGTGAGATGAAGAATATGTGATTGCTCTTTGTCGTTTTTTATCCCGAGTCTTGAGGTGAGTTCTTCCATCTGTTTCATGGAAGTCATGCTTGCAATCACGTTCTCCAGTTCATCATCGTTCACGTCAAGTACTTAAAAACAATAGATAAAATCAAATATTTATAGTACTCGTTATATCCTGTACTTTCGACTGAAAGTAGACCGGTATTATATGTTATAAAGTTATCACTCCATATTTTATGCTGATGACATCAGGAAAGCAACCCCAATCTTATGACAATTTTTCATTACAATGCACAGTTTACATCATTTGAAAAATGAGTTGTTCAATGCGTGTTATTTCATAATAGAAATGATCGCTACAAGAACAACATTATAATTATGATAATAATAATAATAATAATAATAATAATAATAATAATAATAATAATAATACTGCCATAATTTTACAACCAAGTCTCGTCATGTTTAGTTATATTTACTTCGTGAGGTCCAGCAATCATATTCTTACCAAGCATATGTTATTAGTACCAACTTTAGCTGAGTTACAATCAAGCTGACAAGGTATTTGCTTCTCCTGGGTGGAGAGTAGATTATTTAAGTAGATTGATACATTTTTAAAGGTAAATGATGTTACTAAAAGAACCGTGACACACTTTTTGAAGGATGTATCTAGCCAGAGGTTTTGACTTGGTAAAATTCCTATGGCCTATGAGCAAATGTTTCGTATTCGAGTGGTTTATCCGATTAACTAGGAAAGCAACAATCGTGGTATCGAGTCCCGGCACGGAACTTATGTCTTTGAGCAAGGCATTTTATCTGCATTGCTCCTCCCTGCCCATTTGTGAATGGGTAGCATGCATATTGGTTCGATTAGCGTCTGCGACTAGCTGGAATGTTCCCCCAGGGTGGAGAATGTACACTGTAATGTATAGGGTAGTAATTGAATCCAAAGATGGAGTATTAATAATAATGATTGCCAAGCAAATTGGTCAGTTTGTGATAAAACGCTTTGTAAGAAACATATTTTATCGAATTATTAGCTATGGCCTACTATCTACATAATACATTTATTTCCAGACAATTACCATGACTGTCATTCGCCTCGTTCAATGCATCACTATGGATCGAAACAAGGGCCTGCAGGGAATATCTTTTTGATTCTTTGATATTTTGGTCTCTCCAACATCGCAGCTTCTCCAAATCGTCACCTTCCTCGTCAACTGAGATGCCTAGCTTCTCAAGAAACAAAGGTATCGCACCTGTAGGAAGATGCTTTAGCAAGGACGCCAGATCATCATCGAATATACTGCTGCTATCTGTGAGTTAATCAAAATCAAATAATGGCATAAGATAATGTGTATGGCTCAAGTGATAGATCATGTACCTTTCTTTTGTCACAAGAAAATAAATACTGATAAATAAAGAGTGCACTACCTACTAAAATATATAACTAAAAGTATACTCACTGAACGTCCTAGCATCAGGATGTGGTCTTTCAAGATTATCACCTGTTTTAACCCTGTAGCTGGTTGTCCCAAATGCATCTGGAAAACATAAAAAGAAAATCACGATAGGTGCTACAAAGTAACGCTTCGCGACATCTAAAATGTACTTGATAATAAGTAATAACTAAAACAAACATACTTTTTCAAAAACAAAGTTTAAGTTAATTTTGTAATGGAATCTTACCCGTCATATCATGACGGCCAATTTTGATGGTGGCATCATCAAGCCAGCATCTCTTCTCGAAGTTGCAGCATTCCTGTCCTTCTATCCAGTCGTTCACCATTGACTGAATGAGAACAAGATCTTCGTTGTTTTCATCCATGATGGTGGCGATTGTATTCTGATCGGTGATTCCTACGGTCTTAGCAATCCTCTTGCAATGTCTTTCTGTCAGTCTGTAGACGAAACCTTCTACCTCTTGTGGGGATATCGCCTTCATTAGTTGATCAGCAACTACGGCAAAACAAAATATCAGAAGCCGTGAGATGTCCAGTGTTTAACTTGTATAATTTTTTCTGTATGACTACACTAATTACAATAACATCATAAAGAAAAATATGAAGAAGTGTGATGGGAAGAGGGGAGGAGATAAAGAACATGACAATTATATAAAACAACCCAACTTCCTGGTTAGGTCCCTCACATTTTGTCCCATGTATGTAAATAAACAAATGTCTCGAAAATGCGTTTTTAAGTGAGATGTAAATTCAATTGAACCCATTGCCTACATACACCGAGTGGTCCCTGTAGTATGCTCATGAGAAAGAGAGAATTCAGTAGAAAACGGGTTAAAGTAATATCAACCAAAGCTAATAACACTGAAACCCACATGATCAGCTACTGGGCGTCATACGGGTGCACCATTTCCAGAGTGGACAGCATAACGAAGAAAGAGAGACAGAGGAGATAGGGAGGATGGGAGAAGAACATGAACGAAGTCAACAGAACCTTCATCTAGGATCTGTCAACCACATGATGTCACTCAAGTGTTATTGATAAACCCCAGAGTCTTACAATTTTACTCAAGAATGATACACAATAATTTTCTCACAAAAAATAGCATCACTTGAAACCTTCGAAAATAACACATGGTACTCACCCTTAAAAAAAGTCCTATCTAGTGGCTTGCACTTAGCTCTTTCTAGAGCTAAACTTAATTGAATGACTGGATTTTTATTGTGTTCTTTGTCACGCCATTCCCTCGAGACAACCATAGATTCCTCGATAACGTCTCTTTTATTTCCTAACACCTTAGATCGAGTTTCACGTTTATTGGCGGTCAGTTCATAAAGGAATGGGCTAATCTTTCTTTCATCGCCAATGCTCCATAAAACATGATCCAGCAGTTCTCCAGAGACCGCAGACTTTGCATCATATCTCCGTTCTACATAAAATGAACACCATCATAATCATAATCGTAAGTATTTCGATGAAAAAACATTGAAACTTATTATTTTTCTTGTTTATAAAAGACGCATTAATATTTTTCACATTATCTTTACTTAAATATATACATACTTCAAGGTACATACTAGTAAATATAATTATTCGACATGGTATAAATTGTATTAATTTTAATCTCCTTGTCCTCATCCATTAATTTTGTTGGATCTTTCAATCAATGGTCCCATGAAACTGCAAAGACTAATTATAAACAATTGTTGTTTTGTTTATCATTTCAAACCTAAGAGAACCACCCTGTTAAAACAAAACGAAAGCATAAATCTAAACAAATGAATAATCCCGGTACACTGTGGATCATTAAGAAGTTAATCAATACCCACCACACATCTCTTTCCAGAAAGGTCTAAGTCCATGTCCGATTAATACATTCTTCAGCCTCATTGCTTCATTGTCAGATGTATTTGTATCCTTCCAGTCACAGAGTAAGTTATAGGCGTCGTCTCCGGTTAGTTCCTCCTCGACCCCAAGGATACCAAGATCGATGAGGGCGCCCCGTAGGATATTCAAGTTAGTCTCATCCATATTATGTACCAGGTACCAGAGTTCAAAGAAGGATACTTTACCTGAGAGGAATCATAACACACACATTGTTAAGTACTTATTCATAGCCATACCATAAATTACGTTAAACAATTACAGAAATATGTTGCTAACACGAAATAATGTCAACACTAGACTTTACCTTATTTTATGAAAAATAAAACAAGAACAAAGAAAAGCAAATACCCTCGCTGAAAAAGGAAGGATGCAAGTATTATATTATGTTTAAAAGTGATATTCTGAAGTATATATATTTATAAGTAATATAAGCAACTTGTCGGCGATTATATCTGCATGTGGGAGAGGGTATGCGCGTTTTAATATGTTTGAGTGTAAGTGCGTGTGTATGTGTGTGCGTGTGTGTGTGCGTGTTTTTGTGTTTATCAGAAAGAAATCAGATTTTTGTTTTCATGATAGATAAATATAAGTAGTTACCCTTTATCTGTGGGTCCGGACGTAGTAGCATGGATTCCGGGTCGTCTTTTTCTGTACGTCAAAAAGAAGAGTTTTAGAGAAAAAGTGCCTGAAAAACTCCAATTAAATCTAGGCGGTGAAAAGTATTTACCTCAATGGGGCTTCCCACTCATTCTATCTTAGCCTACAAGTACAGGGCATCGAAAGTACAATATGATGTGATATATATAAAAAAAAAATTGTCACTATTGTGTGTCTATAGTATAACGAAATCCATAGTAACTGTACAATTCTTTTGCCTTATGTGATTTTACAGTATGATAAAGGTTCAATACATTATTTTCTCTTTGGCGTATTAAAGGAATAGTTGAGTGTTGGTCAATACTCACATTAGCGAACGAAACTATGATCTAAACATAAAAAACATACAATAAATGTCTAAGAATGCATCATTGAAGATATAAATCCGAAATATTACATTAGAGTGAATTTATATGCAAAAAACCTGTTCGACTGCAAATGATTTTATTTATCAAAAATTTTACTTTCGAGGCGTGTTCAGTGTAATTGTATAGCGCCACCTCTCGGTCAAGCGGCAGCACACCGTGAATTTTCGCCAAGACGACGATCGGATATGGGCGTGCAAGTAATGACTGATTTATATTGTACACATTATGGTATGCGAGGCCTGCACATAATTGCATGGTCTGTGCAGTGGTACTGGTAGCGCTATTGTTTTTGAGCGCGATATGCGAATACTGTATGTGTATGTAGTGCGAGTACGCTCGACCTAGTAGTAGTGTATGTGTATGTATTGTTCGTCGTATGACCCAGTTGATTACTTCTACAGTGTAAAGAAAGTGGCTTACTCTATCTATCAACCAATATGTGAGACAACGCAAGGGCAATTTTGTATTTCGTTTGTAGGAACAAAGCTGTGGAATGATCTCCCAGATGAAATTAGATTAAAAACATCGAGGTTATCTGTCCACCTACCTTCTATGTAAATGACGTGGGCCTTCGTTTTTCCTTTTATATTACTTGTCTTCCTTTTATAATATGTGAAGAGTTTCATTCCAAAAGGAGCCAAATCCACTTTGGGTACTTCTGAGTAAATTGCCTTTTTTATTTCTCCACTTTCCCTTTAGCCATGTATACCTTCATGTTGTTATATATGTTAACCCTGCATGGACCTGATTATCTGCCAATAATGATAAGAAAAAATCTTCCCTTCGGCTTTTCTGATGTTTACTAAATTTTTTGATTTTTTATTTTCGTGGATTTAGCTCCTTTTGGAATGAAACATGTTATTGTACCTAAAAAATAAAAAATAAATCATATTTTCTCAATAAAGTCACTGAAATTTTATTCAAATTTAGCAGCAAACCTTTCCTTTTAAATAATAATAGTGCAATCACACATAAATATAACCTTTCGAAAAGAAAGTAAACAACATTATTACAGTTTCATTCCAAAAGGAGCTAAATCCATTCAATTCCAAAAGAAGCTAAATCCATGTTTCATTCAAAAAGGAATTACTAAATCCACATTTTTTTTTTGGCACATATCGCACGACAACCAAATGCCCTAAGATGTTGATACCCACTTTGATAGAAAAATAAGGTTTTACAAAATGGAAAAATACTAGAAGAGAAAAGGTAAGAAAGAGTAAAGACGGATTGAGGACGGTAAACCCCAAACAAGAGACTCAAAAGATCTACCCCAGAATCCTCTCACCGGCACCAGAGTTGCCTAGGCCAATGATGGCCGAGAAGATTGCGCAATGTACCGCGCCGGTCTGGCAGGAAGGTGCCAATTGCGGTGAGGGGTTTTCATGGACCAGTAGATCTGAGATTATATTATCCAAAAAAAAGAGATGAATATGAATTGACAAATAGTACCAAAAATAGAAGAAAAAAAAGAAATAAAGTGAAAGGCGTAAATATTCTAAAAAAGAATGAAACGCCGATAATACCAAACAACAACAACAACACAAAATCTAAAAATTTGATAGAAATCAGAAATAACTGGTGGATTTTTTGTCTTATCATATGTTATAGGTCCAGAGCGACACCTTTAACATATATAACAACATGAAGGTACATGGCTAAAGGGAAAGTGGAGAAATAAAAAGAAATAAATTAAAAAAAATATTAAAAATTGTTGTATCAGTATACTATAATGAATAACAGTAGTGAATTAATTTAACATCTTACTTGATTCATACTTGTCCATAATGCAGTGTTTTTCAGTATTCTTATTTTGGTACTGCATGCAATTGTAAAGTTTAAAAAAAAAAGTGATTGTAACTTCTTGTAAATAAGTTGTGTTCTACAGTGCCTGTGTATTGCATGACCTACGTCAGTACGTGATAACTTGTAAATGTGTAAAGACATAAGATTTTAATATAATTATAGTAATGCTAAAATGAAGATACATAACATATTTTTATGGTGTACATTGAAAGCTTTATTCGGCCATAACTAACAGTTAAATTTACACAACATTATTGAGATGAATACAAATTATAATTGCTGTACTGAAGGCAATATTTAAACGTGATGTTGATTTCAACCATTGCATACAAACAGATCATGTGTATTAAAAAAGGCACATTTTTATTTAGCATCTATCGCTATGACAACTTTAACCGTTGTCATTAAGAAGGAGCAATATACTTTATTTGTATACCACCATGTCTTGTTACTTATTAGTTACTGCTTATTTATATACATCTTATCTTGTGTCTTTCATAAAAACTTGACATACTCTATAGGCAATGTGTAGATAAGTTTACCAAAGAAAAGTATATAACAGTAATGTTTCTACGCGCTTGACAAATATACTATTACCCCGGTCATTTGATTCAGTGCTTGCCCGCACACAATGTTTTGACTAGTACGTGATCATACAAATTTTGCCGAGAAACTGCCTACTAATTGATATATTTGGTAAATTATTATATCTATTTGGACTTGATAGATATAACGCATGTGTCGCGCACTTGTGCGTAGTCCCATATACATCTTTCTGTGTACAGTGCTTGTAACTTTACCAAGACTGGGCCAATTTTTTTATCATTTCGATGATTCTAGAACCTTGCAGTACACACCAAGACTTATATGCTAGATGATCAACCTTTTCTGATCGATTCCACAACAATCCTTTCACAATGCAGTCGCATGACCATAACTGGTTTTATCTTTTAAGTTTCACATCTTACTTTATATATAAATGCTTTAAAAATTGTCTGAGTGATTCTTTTCCTTAATGTGTACGAGTATACATGTATACATACTCCATATCGATCTCAAATCCTGAATCATATCAGTTTCAGCACAAAATTAAGTATAGTTAGGTACATATATGTCTTTCATCTTCCCTAATGCTCGACTATGAATATCACCTCAAGTGATTAACATCCAACATAAGGTTTTTCAAAAAAATAGCACAGACATTTCAAAACTGGTCATGTCCTATACGCACACAAAAGACAATTCTGCGTTGTGTGTACTGAGTTTCATATGAATCGATCAAACTACTTCCAATAGTTTGCTCACATACTTATTTTACACACTGCACATGCATTGAGTTTTATACTGTTATTATAATGCCTCATCAAAGATACCAAAACTATAAAATTGCTAAAACTTGGAAAGAATATGCTCCACAAGATTATTAAAACAAAATTGTATTCTTTGTGCAAAGCTTGGTTACCATGGAGGTACCTTAACAGACAGACACAACAAATGTGTCTTGCACACCCTCGGGTCAATCGGTATACCAAGTTTTATTACAATTTGCAAAAAAATTGGAAAAAATTTGACCCAGTTTTTTACGATAGACCAACAGAAAGACTCGCCTGCCCAACTGTATCCTTATTCCTTTATACACCCTTTCAAACTACAAAGTAGTTACAGGCAGCATATCTCTTGATGGTATAACCTTGAACCGCAATACTTTGGCGTTGAGCTGATTCACGTTCATTGATTCAAATGATGCATGAAACCAACTGTTTTGCTGTCTTGTGATCATTTCTCTTTTTCGCTTGCATTATTTTAGTCACATTGATTGCATTAAACAAAAAATGAAGACTATTTACAATAAGATATTCTACAAATCTTTCTTCTGTCCATGTTGATTTTCAACAGGTTCCGAAGTATAGTCTTTTTCATGATCGACTGTCACCTCAGTTACATGCACAGTCACTAAAACCAAACACATTGTTGACTCATGGTTTGACCTCTTGGCTGTAAATTTTATAATTACTACCGTAACTTCTTCAAGGAATATAGGTTGCCAAATAGATACAAATTGAAATATCCACCATTTCCACATGAGCAAGCACTGATTTTATCACAAATTATGAATTGTATAAATCACATAGAGCTTTTATACACTGATGTCACAATTTGTCTTTTATATTCCTACATTTCTTCCATTTGTAAACTTGCCAACCTCTTATTGTAATACAATATACAAGTGCCAAGCATGGTGGCTAATCTAGCAACAATAACAATTTATTTCTGGTACATGTATATCATGTGTTATGTGATTTTTTTTCTCCAGATAACCACATCCCCATGATCCCCAGGGACACTCTAGTATCAAGTTTGGGGGTATTTTGTCAAAGGGTCTCTGACATATCAAGAATACATGCTCGTAATGCTAAGCCATGCAATCTTTCACCTCCGGACCACAAAATCATTAGCAACCAAATGAGTCCAAAATGTTAAGTTCCAACCAATCCTCAAGATAGCCTAAAAACATGCCACATGGACAAATTAAATCGAGGCGATTAAGAGTCTTGCATGCAATCATGCAACAATGAACCTCATTTGACCTTTGACCTACTTATGTGACCTTCAACTCCAGAATATCATGGAGGCCAATAAAGGGCATCTACCAATCAAGTATGGTTACAAACAGATGCAGGGTTGGAAAGTTAGCAACCCTAATTGATTTTTGCAGGTAAGATTTCACATTAGACTTCATTCAAATTTGTGTACAGTCACGGAGGATGGACGGAAGGACGCCATTTGGATCCCTTAGTCTCTGCTCGAAAAAAAGCAGTTCTCAAGTCAGACAATCCCAAATGTTCACTACAGAGGATTACATGGATTTCTCTAATCGGCCTAGTCTCCTGGCTAGGATCACATCAACTTGTGGTGGAGGAAATGGTGCAAGCCGGGGCCTTGTGTGTCTAGGGTCATCAGGGAGCAGAACAGCCTTCGAGAACAGTGGTCCTTGGTCCTGTTCTCTGCGTTCCAGTATCGCACCGATGAGTCCTTGTACATACATGTAGGGGTAGGTCTTGGGGACCTTCTCCTTCCGGGCCACGTAGTTGTTGGCACGCTTTGACCATACTGCAACATATCTGTATCATAAAATAAAAGAACATGCAAAATGTAACAAGTTGCATTATATGCACACTCATTCTTGTCAATTGGAAATGATTCATATCTCTTAAAGATAAACTTGAGTTCTGGTAAAAAAAGAAAATGAATTCTCACAGAATCTAACGAAACTTACACTGAATGTTCAAGATTACAAATAAATGTCATGTGCCAAAAAATTTTGGAAGAAAATGTATACTGGCTGAGTAATGAGCATAGAAAGATAAGGAAATCAGGGTAGTACTAGCCCCGACAGGCCGACACCATGTGTGTTGTCCCATATACATCTTTCTGTGTAAGTGATTGTTACTTTACCAAAACTCTGCCAAATTTATGATGATTTTGATGACTCCAGAACCTTGCATTACACACCAAGTATATTATTACACTGAATCCAAGTCCGCATTTAGGGTCCAAAATCAGCAGCATGATTGACAAACCATCAGCTTACAGTCCGTCATCTACATAATTTAGATGTGCGTCGTGTACAGGGACAACTTCTTTAGATGACGTCATATTTTGGCGATTTAAAAGGGGCGTTCCCAGGAAGGACAATTAGATATTTAATAATTTCCCCAAAATTGATAAATTTCATGGGAAAGAACTGCCAATTCGGATTGCCCTGTCCAACTACACAGGGAAAACAAAAAATCATGTTTGTTTTTTTTACTCCACCCACTTTGGATTGCCTTGTCCATCTAAAAAAAAATGTACAAATAAAAATAGGAAAAACAAGAAAGAAAAGAAAACCTTTTTTTCTTTCTTTCTAATTTCCACTCACTTTGTATTGCCTTGTTCATCAATCTGGTCGGGCCTGTCCTTGTGTGCCATGTAGTCGATGACCGCAAGCAAATTCCTTGCCCGGTTTGCTGGGTAGCTGGATGGATAAGACAAACAATTGGTATTACCACTACCATGATGAATGAATAGTAAATGCTTTAGACAAATCTCAGACTCATTGGCCCGTAGTCACAAAGGAGGTTTGTAGGAGGTTTGTACAAACCATGGTTTGACGATGGTTTACATCTATGGAATGCTGCTCGCATACCGTAAATTGTAAATTAACATTGTTAACAAGTATGGAGTTTACATTCCTTCTCCATCAGTTTACAAATGGCATTCCATAGATGTAAACCTTGGCCAAACCATGGTTTGTACAAACCTCCTTTGTGAATACGAGCCATTCACTTCAGTTCTGGATTTGTGTTGTAAATTATTGACTCTTAATTAAAGGTAGTTACATTTCCCTGCTACAACCACTCCAACTTGACTTAACATCAGGTACCGACACAAGTACGATACAAAGTCTGCTGTTTCAAGACTCTGCATGCATCCAAAAGTGATTTCAGCATTTATATAGATGTCATTCATAATTTCTCATTAACTTTGCTATTTGCTTCAAAATATGATATTGTAACTGTAACCGTACTGTAATGATATGTTTCAACTTTTCCACAATCTTACTTCAAACATACAAAATGATACTAAAAATACTTACTCAAAGGAATACCGCTTGGAAGCATACATCAGTATATGGTTGTGGAAACACTCAAGCATGCTGGTGTGCCTAAGGAATTATGAAAACAAAATAAAAACTGATATAAATGATAGGGCATTTCATTATTTTCATACCACAAAATCAATATTGAAAATCCCATGTCATACACATGAGCAAATAAGATGCATTATCTTGACCTGCTGATATGTCCCAATTTTATAGGTCATAACCGAAAAAGAGCTCAATCTTGCAAACATGTACGTAATGAACGCATTCTCATTAAATTGCTCTCAATTTACAGAGCCTTTCGTACATGTATACAGAATCCTACCTGAAGCGAGCAAATCAGCAGAGTAGGCCAAGTTCTCCATGAATTTGCGGTCAAAGGTGACTTGTACTATTCACCTGCTAATTCCCCTACTGCTGCTTGGAATTTCTTCGCTGGGGATGGATTGTGTTGTCTGTTCTTCATATCTGTAAAAAGTGAAGAAACGAAAGTCATTCACAAAGTAAAAAACATTCAGATTTTAAATCACCAAAAGAAATTATTTTGAAGATGGCATTCTCTAATAATTATCACAGCTAGCCAGATTTGGAATTTGCATGACTAATAACTGATGCATTGGTTCTCTGTCATGTATGTGAAGTTGAGACACTCTTTGGTAGAGATAAATATAGATGAGACAGTCACATCTCAAGCAAGCTATAGTATAACCTTGTCGACTTTTAAAAAGAGCAGGATGTTTACCCGGTTGACTAGCCCTGCACGTCATCATTACAAAGAAAACTGCAGTTGTAACGAGGGACATTAAAGGTAGGGTCTATTACAAAGTTTTGGGAAATTTTGAAAATTGGGTGGATAGTGATTCTTTACAATTTTGATATATTTGGATGCCCCTGTGGAAGTATTATAAGCACTAGAAAATTTAGCTCCTAAAACACTTCTGCTTTCGAAAAAAATTGAATATAAAAATTTACCGGTGCTCCCGGTAAATTTTGATAAATTTAAAATAGCGCCTACGGTCGTACAACGGTAGCTGCTACCATAAAAATCCCGGAATATGTAGTTGTGATATATAATTTCAAAAAGGTAATAGCCAATCGGTCAATTGTAGCTTGTTGTATAGCTGAATTAATATATTGACCTTGAGAGAGAGTTATAGTATACCCCATAAAGAGATTATTATTTACAATTTCATCACTTTAGACTCGATTTCAACGCGACAACGTTCACTGAATATTGTAGGATCGCATATGCTTCCAATATTTTCATTTGAACCAAATTCATCCGGAGGTCTAGTGGAGCCAGACGTAGTCTCAGTGGAACAACCGACGATATAGAGACTGAAGCTTTCGGTCTACTGTAGACCTAGGCTAGACTATCAATATATGATTCATGAAATCTGAATTAAAAATCCAAGGCAAGAGATAACAAAACGTAATTTCTTAAATTTGCCGATTCCATGCATCTAGTCTCTAACTTAGACTAGATCAAATTAAAACGGTAGGCCTACCCAATGCAGTGGGGCGTATATCATTTCAACTTACCTCTCAGTGAGCTGGCATGTCTATTGCATCCTCTAGACTCGGCAACGAGAAGGCCGCCTGCAGCTCACAGCCACAGCCACTCCCGCGCCTCCTCTGGGCTGGATGGTCGAGCTGCCATTGCTTGTTTCTCTCCTTCCTCTTACCGTCTTACTTAGTCTTATTCCGATTTAGCGTAGCCTTAGCCTTGTCCTTAGGCTTAGCACTAGCTGAGTCCGAGCCCGAGTCCGAGTCGGCCATCGTCCGTGACCTCGAGCTCCTTTTCCAATCTCGATCTCGTTATCGTATTTCAATCAAAGCTTGTCTGTAGCTGTCTAGCGTTCGATCGGCGCCGGTGATAATCTGATATGAGCTGTGTGTATTATACTTTACGTGAAAGCAGCGTATTGGAATTGATCAGCTGTACTACTAGCGCGCGGTCGGATACCCGCCTGCTAGCTACCTGTAGTACTGTACGTACCAACGAACTCAAACACTCGTTGTAAATACGCTGGTTGTTAAATGACATAGAGGGAGCTAAACACGTAAATTCAAAAAATAAACCGTCGAAAGTCAAAAGTGATGTCCGGACGTCAAACACTTTTATATAATGTTTTGAAAGCAAATTGCACAACAATTAGAGCATTTGATTTGGAATTATTATCATCTCCCATGTTTTTTTCGATGATCTTTCATATGGTACTGAAATAAACCAAATTTGTTTTGGAGGGGCACTTTGGAAATTACCAATACTCAACTATACCTTTAAATTTCATAGCAAGAGTGTTATTTTGGTATTCGTAGAAGTTTACGTACTTCATTTATGTTTTGGTCTTTGATAACAAAATTATGCTTAAAATATATCGATATTACACCAGAACATTTACAAATGATAATTTCTTTCAAAGTTATTTTGTTTCAGATTCTACTTCGTGATGATCAAATGTTCATCAAATACAGAGTAACAGGTTAGGATTTCTCTGCAAGTTTTCAAGATTCATCGCCATATCAAATGACATTGTAGTCGTAGAAAGATTGAAATATGGCTCCATAGCAAAAATCTATATTTCCATTCGTTTTTGCTACGAGGCCCTTTCTATTCGTTGAAATACTGACGATGATGAGTGTTCATAACTTAACCCAGTGATAACGAGTCATAGATATAAACATACCTTGATTTCTCCGTTGTTTCATACAAAGCCAAATTACGAAGGCAACACAAATCGCAGCCGGTATAAGAATAACTGGTACAACTGCAAATATATAAAATAATATAATCAGCGAATAAGACTTATCGTCGTACTCTTGTTTTCACAAGGTGAGTGTTTCGACTACATTTTATTGTTTTCTGATGTGGTGAATCCGGTTTATATTTAGTCACATGCAATGTTAAATTAATCTGAAATCAAATTTAATATCTGATATCACACAGTATTTATTTTGTAACAGGGGCGCTAGTTATAACGTACATCATTACCACATGATTGGTTGTAAGAGGGCATGTGACAAAGCATCATGTTTTGCTAAATAGTACCCATTCTTTAGAAATACTATCATACGTCCTACAGCATTTCCTCCTGACCGGTCGGTTTATTAAAGAATGCGATTTTCAAAACGGAAAGAAAAGTATTCTCGCTACCTTTTTGTATCAAGCAAATGGTACACATGATCTTAAATTATGATACATCAACCATCGGTACCTTCAAAATTAGTCCAAACACCATCGGCTAGTTCCTTCATTTCGGACACATTCAGAGGTACCTTGAGTGAATAATGTTTACTGATATCCTAGATGATAGCAGTTGTATACTATCTATCCACTCTTGACCATGGGTCGAATATAAAGACTCCCTCCCCCTCCCTCCCCCCCCGACCCCCCCCCCCCCAAAAAAAAAAAAAAAAAAAAAAACTCGTCGTAAATTCTTACCAATTTTGGCTACATCTCCACTCTGACTTGGAGGTAAAGTGGTTTGATTGGATGGTGTTGGCATGGCAACAGTTGATCCAAGAAAGGTCACAGTGACAGTCACTGTTTTTTGGTCTTGTAATCCCGGGATATCAGAAGCAACACAAACATAGGGGCTTTCACTGGGTTTACCGGCGGTGGAGATTGATTTGTTTCTCGTCCCGTCCATGTTTGCAACTTCCTTGATAGTTGTTGCGCCCATCTTGTTGGATTCGTGTAAGAAGAAGAGATCGATGTCAGGAAAGTAGTTTGAGGTTGAGCATGTGATGGTAATGCTATTAGCAGTTGAAAGACTACAGGTTTGTACAGCATCGTTGGGAAGTATTCCTCGACATTCATCGATAAGTGGAAAGGGTTCCATCGGAGGAGCTGAAAATGAAAAAGTATACTATAATCCAATCAAGGAAAATCATAATATCTTCATGAGGTAAAAACTATAATGAGAGGCATAAAGCTTTTTCTTTCAATTTCATTTGATTAATTAATATAATAGTACAAGTAAATGTTATTTCATATTAAATATGATAGTAATACTTTTGTTTTCGTCTTGTTTTTTGTTTAAATAAATATTCTACAACTATTAGATTAACATGTAGCAGTAGCATAGTTCTAAAGCATGGAGATAGTTACATAATGAAAACTTTAGGCCCGATTTGGACAACAAATCCCTTACGCGTCCGTTGCATTCACCAGAACGTTTTGTTTACTTCATCACGCTACAGCGGTTTAGTGAGCAGTGATTGGACTGCTCCATTACAGTAAATAGGGGTGTTTGTTGTAATTACTATTAAAAGCCTGATCCCTCGCCTCGTCTAGCACACACGTTCATGTATATGCCCTGGGTATATGTTGTATTCATACATTGCACACGTGCAGGCTCACAATCACTCCCCAATCACTTTACTCACAAACATTACAAGCACAAATTTACACGTCACTACACGTAGAGCATGCACCCACAGTCATTGTAGTGTACGTATTAGGTACACATATCGCGATCGACATATACGCGACGTGAGAATGAAAACATGATTGACTGCGGAGCATGGCGAAGAAAAAGCTCTATTTTTTCCTTTGTATCTCTTATTTATGAGTAATACTTGAATTAATGAAACTTAGAACATTATTGAACTAATATCTTTCCTGCAGGATTCACATAATGCTCCAAAATTAAAGAAATCAAACACTTTTCAAATGATTTCGGTCTTGAATATTGGCTTATCGCAAGTTACTGTCGTTTCCTGACGGGGGATTGAATGGCTATAATGCTGCTACCCCTCAAACCAATAATGGAATCTCTCACTACGTCTTGGCTAGTTTTCGATTTATCAAAGCTTTTCGTCAATTGGTGAAAACCTTTGAAACAAAAAGGCAGAGAGGTTATTGGACCAATGACAATGATTTTGACATCAGCCTTTAGCTTAGGATTTGAAGTCTCTAGATCTGCTCGCCCCAATTTGATACGTTGACGCATTCAGATGTTATAGCCATATTTGAGCATATGACCGTACACACTTATCAACACAAAATTGGGGCATCTGCCATAGACTTCTGTCTCAGAGAATGAATGCGTAACAACATTCAAGAACAAAAGGCAGAGAGGTTAAAAGGTCCCCATAAATAATTTTTACTCCACAAAATAGCAGAAATTCTCCCCTTTCAAATGCGACTCGCCCCAATTTATAACGTTAATGGTAACTTAAGATATGGTCGAATTCATGCAACAATGTCATATTTCGTAGTAGTAGTAGTAGTTTACGTGTTGTAGCGACGTACACGTATGCGCACGCAATTTCCAAGAGCAAATGTCCAACAGATTTCATTATGGAAATAATCCTATTTATTTAGGGTAGTTCTCAGTCATTCTGTAAAATGTACACATAATTAAACACTTACCAAAGACGCTTACTTCTGTAAAGTTGTGGATCAAGATCCCTTTGTAGTTTGAAACTCTGCAGATATATGATCCTTGATCTGAAACTGTAATATTTCTGATGATGAGAGAGAAGGTAGCGTTCATCTTGCAAGACCCGTCATGAACGCATGACCCGGAGGCGGATTCTCCTTCCACCCACGTGATCAGGTTGGGTGAGTTCGTTGGATCATTTCCTTTCTTCCAGTAAACGGCGATTGGCGTTTCATAGAATTGGCATTTCAGAACAAGCTCATCTCCTTTCTGTGCAGTTTTGTGTAAGTCGGTATATACAACGCCATCTGGTACATCACAATAGACACCTGAAATCATAACAGAAGAATTAACATATAGACTGCGTTTTATTTAATTCACGACATAATAATGTTATTCTATGTCGTCCAACAGTAGCTTATACTAGCAACGAAACAGCATAGAGATCGGGTTCCTTGACTGAAAAATATTTGCAATAAAACCTTACAGTACTAAAGGCTGTTAAATGCACTATGTTGTGTAGCAGAACAGGAAACAAATACTTGATGTACATTTGTAATCAAGAGTTATATTAGATATATTTTCAATATGTATCGTTGTAATTATGAACATATAAGCCTTCCATATCTTTAGGCATTTTAGTTGGCAGTGATTATCCTCACAAACATGGGACCCTTTTTAGCTTAGAACAATGAACCTAATTTTCTGGATAGACATGGATAATGCTATTGATATTTGTTTAAAAAGTGAAGGGGAAAGATAACCATTGGCAAAAAACATATTGACTTTAAATTTAAGCCAAGGAGTAACTACATCGAGCAAACTTCATGGCGAAACTATTCATTCTAGATCAAACTAAGATAACTGAACGTAACCATTAATTCACAGGAATGTGTACTTGACATGATATAAATTAATGAAACAAGACAAATTCAAATGGAATATCATTCTATTAGAATTATGTAGTGTCAGGATTAATTTTACCATCATCTCTCACTAGGCCAGCAGTGGTATTGTTAGAACAAAATACAGAGAAGGAAACACTCTCTTCGACAATTTCCGGGTGTACTCACTTTCACTTTCATTAGTGTTCAGTATACATAAGACGATATACCCTATATACTGCAGTAAGACTATACACATGGCGAACTATAAAAGTAGGCAACATTTATTAAGATTTGGAGAACATGTTTATTTCTTTTTATTTCATTCATTTAAACCGCCTCTTTACACAGAGAAGCCTGTTCAGCGGGTAAACAATTACACAAGAACAATTACAATATAAGACATTATTTAAAATGCATTAACAATATTACGTTCGAAACATACAAATGCTGGTAAACAAACAGCTATACTTACATTATCAAGAGGGAAAACAAATGCATACAGCAATAGCATACACAAACTAAATGTTTACTATTTTAGTGACAAGAATAACACACTTTGGATGACAAATCAGAAGAGTCTGAAATCAAATTTGAAGAGTGTTTATTGGATTGAAACGCTTGTCATGAAACGCATACATTAGGGTTATCAGTACGTGTTTGATCCACACATTTAACATGCTTAATCGTTCGTTTCCGCCATCGCATTCGTTGTATGAACAAAACATCAATACAGAAAAGGTGTGTTATTGTATATTAACATATATTATACTATGGTTTATTTAATTCGTTACGTAATAAGGTAGTTCCATAAAGCCAAACAAAAGCTTACTTGCAAAAATAAACCACATACAAATGATCCACTTAGAAATTAATTTGCAATGACACCAAACAGTATCAAAGGTTCTTAAATACTTCGTGTTGTGTAGCAGAAAAGGAAACAAATACTTGATGTACATTTATAATCTAGCGTTAGATATATTTTCAATACATGTATGTATCGTTGTAATTATAAACATTATAAGCCTTCCATCTATTAAGGCATAGTTCGTTGCCAGTAATTATTCTCGCAAGCACAAAGTACATGAACATTTTGTTTATTTTGTTTGCTTTTTGTTTGCAAAGTGAAGGGGAAAAAACATTGGCAAAAAAACATTTGTATTTTGAAATTAAACCAAGGAGTTACCACAGCGAGCAAACTCCTTGGCGAAACTATTCATTGTAGATCACACTAAGATAACCGAACGTAACCATTTAATCACAGGAATTTGTACTTGACAAGATATAAATTAATGAAAGATAACAAATTCAAATGAAATATAATTCTATTGGAATTATGTAGAGTCAGGATTAAATTTATCAGCCTCTCTCACCAGGCCAGCAGTGGTATTGTAAGAACAAAATACAGAGAAGGTATCACTCTCTTCGACAATTTCCCGGTGTACTCACTTTCACTTTCATTAGTGTTCAGTCTACATAAGACAAAAATATACCCTATATACTGCAGTAAGACTATACACCTGGCGAACTTATACAGTAGGCAACATTTATTAAGATTTGGCGAACATGTTTATTTATTTTTATTTCATTCCTTTAAATTACTTCTTTGCACAGAGTAGCCTGTTCAGCGGGCAAATAATTACACAAGACCAATTTCAATGAAAGACATTATTTAAAATGCATTAACAATAAACGTTCGAAACATAAAAAAATGATGGTAAACAAAACAACTATACTTACATTATCAAGAGGGAAAACAAATGCATACAGCAATAGCATACACAAACTAAATGTTTAATATTTTAGTGACAAGAATAACACACTTTGGATGACAAATCAGAAGAGTCTGAAATCAAATTTGAAGAGTGTTTATTGGATTAAAAACCCTTGTCATGAAACGCATATATTAGGGTTATCAGTACGTGTTTGAACCACACATTTAACATGCTTAATCGTTCGTTTCCGCCATCGCATTCGTTGTATGAACAAAACATCAATACAGAATAGGTGTGTTATTGTTTAAATATTTAGAAGTAATATTTTTTGCAGAACTCCATCTAATTAGTTCCACCCCTTTTTCCCGGATATCGGAACCAAATAGAGTCTATCATATCCCTGCATTAAATGGGATTCACCAGAGTATGATCAGGTTCATGTCCCCGCTATAATATCCCCCGCCATCCCTAAAGTCTTTTATTTCATCAGATTGACGCACTGGATAGCAGTATTTCCTTTCGTTATCTGTTCCATCCAGGCGCGTACGCAGGGGGGGGGGGGGGGGGATTTTGGGGGGGGGGGGGTTAAACCCCCCCCCTTTGGTATGTTTATGTGTGTAACCCCCCTAAAAAAATCCCTAAACCCCCCCCCCCCCTTTGGTTTTTTTTTTATTTTTTTTTTTACAATTATTATTTTAAAAAAAAATAACCCCCATGGCTGACCTAAGAAAGGTGACCTTACCCCCCCCCCCCCCCAAACGGAGCAAAATGTCAAATTTTCAAATTTCGAGACCCCCCCAAAAAAGGTGTCCTCTTACACTGTTATCTGTTCCATCCAGGCGCGTACGCAGGGGGGGGGGGGTGTTTGGGGGGTTAAACCCCCCTCCCTTTGGTATGTTTATGTATGTAAACCCCCCTAAAAAAATCCCTAACCCCCCCCCCCCCCCCCTTTGTTTTTTTTTTTTTTTTTTTTTTTTTAATTATTATTTTAAAAAAAATTACCCCCATGGCTGACCTAAGAAAGGTGACCTTACCCCCCCCCCCCCCAACGGAGCAAAATGTCAAATTTTAAAATTTCGAGACCAAAAAAAAAAAAGTGTCCTCTTACCCCCCCCCCCCCCCCCCCCCCCTCCCCCCCCCCCCCCCCCCCCACCCGCTTATTCAGCGGTCGGTTGAGTCGTTGCGATTTTTTTGGGACCAAAAAAAAAAAATGAGTCTCCGCTTCCCCCCCCCCCCCCCACTGAGCGACTTTTCGACTGGCTGAGTCGTTGCGATTTTTTTGTGGACCCCCCCCCCAAAAAAAAATGTCCGCTTACCCCCCCCCCCCCCCCCCCCCCCCCCCCCTTGAAAAAAATCCTGCGTACGCCACTGGTTCCATCATATTCAGGCCTACATACATACGTTAATATGTGGTAAGGTCTCGCTATTGATAATAGGGACTTTTAGATTTGCGTGGACTAATACGTGTGACGTCCATTCAAGGCAGTGCTTAAAAAGGACGTCGAGCGTAGCATAGACCTATTGTCTTCGTGCGTATCTAAGAGTCCCTATTATTATATTGTGAATGACGAGAAGGGACTTGTGGATAAATTTTACATGCAACCTTGCTATAATAGGTAGATACGTATAATATACATGCATTTAACTTGCATCTCAATTGGAGTAGACTTACCCTGGAGCGAGCACACATGAAGTACCACACATACATTGTATGACATGCAGAGTAACTGTATGAACAATCGGGCTGCCATTTTTTATTTACGAGACGGAAAGGATCCGAATCTCATTTTACCAAAGCATGAATGTGAAGTCAACAGCAAACTGTACGGGTTGGAATTTCTCTTATAGACGGTTCATGTTTCAATTCCTACATCACACACAAGACGTCAGAATGGTGCGCGACAATGATCGACAGCAAATTAATGGTTTGGGATTCCCCATTCTAGCGGTTCATGTTTCAATTCCTACAACACATGCATATAAATTATATATGACAACAGAAGGGCGCGCGTCATGACGCGTACTATCATGATGCTTTATTCAAGGAGAGCTGAAAATCTTGCAAAATTAAGCAGGTTTTCCGCCAAAAAACCGACTGTGGAGTACAGGATGACGTTCTGCTTGAAGACGATGCTTGTGATGTCACAGGCGTCGCTTTGTAGAAAGTGTATTGATTAGGCCGCTTGAGGGCGTACTGGATTTTGTGTGTTGCTGATTTTCCTTGTCATGGGATAGTTTGCTGCCCAGAGTTGCCTATGTTTTCGTTTAATTTTGTGATACAAGCCAAATGATGTAAGTAGAAATTAATGTGTTATCTTGAAGTTTATGAGTTATATTGTCTTTACAGCTAGATAGCTTGATGAAATATGATGTTTATGACACCAATAGAGGTGATGAAATAATGATATGAATGAGTTGTTCAGATTGTACACGTGTATGTAGGTTACGTAATTGTGGTGCACGGTAGTGCGTATTACATATACGTAGTAGTAACATGAATGATATGACCTTGAAGAATGACAAAGTCACCGTCGGTGAGTCATTAATTGTTGCATGTATTTACCGTAGTCAGATATATAGTGAAGAAGGCATTGTTTGTTTTCCTTTGTTATGATAACAGCAGGGGCGTAAATCCGTACCGAGGAGTGGGGGGGATGATCGGCGATAGCCATCACATACTAGCACGAGCAGACGCCAAAACTAATTAACGCAAGCGCGCGCGATCGCGCACGCCCAAACACACAACACACACACACACACGCACACACACACAAACGAACAAACAACAAACACTATTAGAGAAAAAAGACGATTCGTTGTACCGTTCTCAAAAATAATCCTCGTCTGAATTCAGTTCCCCCCCCCCCTCCCGCGCGAAGCGCGGAAGCTTTTACGTTTCATAAAATCATTAGAGAAAGAAGACGATTCGTTGTACCGTTCTCGACTCTTAATCCTCATCTGAATTCAGACCCCCCACCCCTCCCGCGCGAAGCGCGGAAGCTTTTACGTTTCATTAAATCATTAAAGAAAGAAGACGATTCGTTGTTTCGTTCTCGACTCTTAATCCTCGTCTGAATTCAGTTCCCCCCTCCCCTCCCGCGCGAAGCGCGGAAGCTTTTATGTTTCATAAAATCATTAGAGAAAGAAGACGATTCGTTGTACCGTTCTCGACTCTTAATCCTCGTCTGAATTCAGACCCCCCACCCCCCCCCTCCCGCGCGAAGCGCGGAAGCTTTTACGTTTCATTAAATCATTAGATAAAGAAGACGATTCGTTGTTCCGTTCTCGACTCTTAATCCTCGTCTGAATTCAGTTTCCCCCCCCCTCCCCTCCCGCGCGAAGCGCGGAAGCTTTTACGTTTCATTAAATCATTAGAGAAAGAAGACGATTCGTTGTACCGTTCTCGACTTTTCATCCTCATCTGAATTCAGTTTTTTCCTTCCCCCCCCCCCCCTCCCTCCCCTTCGAAGCGCGGAAGCTTTTACGTTTCATTAAATCATTAAAGAAAGAAGACGATTCGTTGTTTCGTTCTCGACTCTTAATCCTCGTCTGAATTCAGTTCCCCCCTCCCCTCCCGCGCGAAGCGCGGAAGCTTTTATGTTTCATAAAATCATTAGAGAAAGAAGACGATTCGTTGTACCGTTCTCGACTCTTAATCCTCGTCTGAATTCAGACCCCCCACCCCCCCCCCCCTCCCGCGCGAAGCGCGGAAGCTTTTACGTTTCATTAAATCATTAGATAAAGAAGACGATTCGTTGTTCCGTTCTCGACTCTTAATCCTCGTCTGAATTCAGTTTTCCCCCCCCCTCCCCTCCCGCGCGAAGCGCGGAAGCTTTTACGTTTCATTAAATCATTAGAGAAAGAAGACGATTCGTTGTACCGTTCTCGACTTTTCATCCTCATCTGAATTCAGTTTTTTTCCTCCCCCCCCCCTCCCTCCCCTTCGAAGCGCGGAAGCTATTACGTTTTATTAAATCATTAGAGAAAGTAGACGATTCGTTGTACCGTTTTCGACTTTTAATCCTCATCTGAATTCAGTTTTTCCCTTCCCCGCCCGCGCGAAGCGCGGAAGCTTTTACGTTTCATTAAATCATTAGAGAAAGAAGACGTTTCGTTGTACCATTCTCGACTCTTAATTTCTTTTAAAAAAGGGTTGGTTTTTTTCTCTCTCTCTTTGGACTCCTGAGCAGGCGCGTACACAGGGGAGGGTTTAGGGGGTTAAACCCCCCTTTGGTATTTTTTTGTTTGTAACCCCCCCCTAAATTTCCCTAAAACCCCCCCCCCCCCTTTTGGATTTTTTTAAATTTTAAAATTGTTTTTATTAAAAAAAAAATATTCCCATGGCTGACCTCAAAAAGATGACCTTACCCCCCCCCCCCCCCCAACGGAGCAAAATGTCAAATTTTCAAATTTCGACACCAAAAAAAAAAAAAAGTGTCCTCTTACCCCCCCCCCCCCCCCCCCCCCCCCCCCCCCGCTTATTCAGCGGCTGGCTGAGTCGTTGCGAAATTTTCGACCCGATTTATTAATGTTAAACCCCCCCCCCCCCTTCAAAAAAATCCTGCGTACGCGCCTGCTCCTGAGAACTGTAAAAAGGAGGTTATAAAATACCTTGAATATCATAGAAAAATTGATCAAATCCCGGGATCAAATTCCTGAAATTCCTGCTAGCTTTGAAAGCTCATTCAGGATTATTTTATTTTGAAAAGGAAAAGCATTGGCCCCCAGTCCCCCTCGATCGACTAGAGCCCACCTGAAATGGGGGGTGGGGGGTGGTACATTTAGCAGTTTTCCGGATTTTTTTTTTTTTTTTTTTTTTTTTTTTTTTTTTTGGGGGGGGGGGGGGGGGGTCTCCAATGCAGGAAAAGCCAGCGAAAAGCCGGCGAAAGGGGGATTCAGAAATGTTGGCAGTCCTGAGATAGGGTGGGGGTGCTTTCAAAGGGAAGGAACGAGCATACGCGTACCCTAAATAACACGGAGCCGGGCATCTACTGTACATGATTGCACTTTTTAAGCGCTCGCGCGCTGGCGCACTTTACGTCTGGGCTATAATAATACCTTGCAAAATAACGAAAAATTATTCTGAAATTTATGAAGTGCTTGTTCGCGCACGTCGCGAAACTACTCTTAATGATCGTGACATACTGTATACGTGTAGGCTATACAGTTGTACATACATAAAAATAAAGAAAACTAATTTCTCATGCATTATGCTGAAATTGAAACAATCACAATTTTTTTTTCTTCTTCTTCCTTTTTTCTCTCTTTGTTTTGTAATATCAGGGGGGGATGATTGTACAGGCCCCCCTACTTCAAGCCAGGGGGGATGCAGCCCCCCATCCCCCCCCCCCCCCGGATTTACGCCCCTGGATAACAGATAGTTATTAAGATTGTCAGGGTATATTTAATTTGATGCATGATGTGTTATATTCATGTCAGTTTATGCAAGATAATTTATTAGTGTTTATCTTTATTAAATTGCAGATTGAACCTTGCCTGCTACAGTGTGTAACCAAATTACAGCGGTGCATGGTGTCTTTATTATGGGTCTTGGGCAACTGGGTTGGTTCGCCAAATCATACACCACACCGACTTAAACAAATGAAAACAAGAGATGAGTAATTTACTGTTTGACGATTATGTTGACTTAAAATATATGCAACACATTTTGATTGAGAACAATCCTACATTTTCTTAATTACGAAGACCTTTTTAATTTGATAACAAATGCCATTATTATGCAACAAAATGTACGATTACAAACATCATCATGCGAAATGGGGTACACCTACCCAACACCCTCACCCTCACTCATGTTGCTCCCTCATTTTCCCACTGCAAGATGCCAGATGCGCTACTGTGTACTAACCAACTGTTTTGATTAACATGTGATTTTAAGCATTATCCAATCTTATAAAGGGTATGATAGAAATGTATTCTCGAAAGTAGTTAACTAGCAAGGGAGTGAGTTCAGGATTTACGGTGGCAAAGTTGAGGCGATTGTTTCCAGTTTACAATTAATTATTTAAACATTTGCAGAACTTTATAATCCTTGAAGTGTGTGTATAATTGGTCTGTTCCGATTTAAGTTGTTTGGAGAATGTTTCATATCAAAGCTTACATATAAAAGTATTAAACAGAGGCCTTAATTCATCTAGTCCAACTTAAATAACACTTAAAACATAACAATTTACAAGGGGTATAAATGATTTTGTTGGTAACTGTGTATAATGTGTACATTATGAATGATAAAGTCTCATCAGCTGAGCCTATTCCTTGTAATATTGCTTAAAACCACAGTAAGCAGTCATTGCTATTTTCTCTGTCTTTATATTTTATTAAATTAAATGTATATTAGCAAATCTTTACAAGTTTTATTGCTCTTGCATTTAAAGGATTTTTAATGATTGCTTTTCATTTGTGCAAGTGAAAGTGAACAGGAAAATGTGTGGTCTCGTGTGTTGAGAACCGGAACACATTGAGAAGTATGTAAGTAAACACCTGTTTCCTCAGTGCATTCACACATAAGTATAGTATAGAAGGACCATAGATGTAGAATGAAATAGAGAGAGAGAGAGAGAGAGAGAGAGAGAGAGAGATGTACAATCATGAAACCTTGTGTACATGCATGATTACGCCAGGTGATGCCCTCATCATGTATGCACATTGCGATTACCATAGGGTTATAACATAGCGTGTTTTGCGTACAAGGGAAATCATGCCATTCAAGTAAAGGAGTCAAACCGGAAGATTGCCCCGGGGCGGCCCACTCAGTCCGGTACAAAGTTTATGTTCTCAAAAGTATTTCCATATTTTCAAGGAGGCGGGAAAAAAATCCCGCTCATTCATTGTTAAATGAGGATGTGCACTGCTTGTTTGTCACGCTCAAGCAAGATAATTTGCCGAAATCGTATGTACATCATGCGAGTATTAATTAAATGAAAC